TTTCAAATGCTAATTCACCACCACCCCAGGGGTATGGGTTAGACCTAACAATTTCATATCACACTGTGTCAAGTGTTTGAAAGCAAATCATGGGCAGTATAATAATAGCAAATGAATACTTCTGACTCAGGATACATCTTGTAGCAGCAGCTTAATTAAATGCAGCTTCTCTGAAGTATAGACTTCGGGGACTCCTGGGTGGCTCAGTTGGTTAAGGGTCCTGACTCTTGATATCTTGATTTCGGCTTTGATCATGATCTCAGGTCGTGATCTCAGGATTGTGAGATGGAGCCCCACGTCGGGCTCTGCGCTGGGCGTGGAGCTGGCTTGAGATTCTCTCTCTCCCTCTCCCCCTCCCCCCACCACGTGTTCTCTCTCTCTCTTAAAAAAAAAAAGCACAGACTTCAAATAACTTATATGGAAATGAGAGTATTTTTCACTTAAACTATATTAGTAATTCCAAAACATGGCTTTAGTTATGAAGATACTGTTATCGAAGATGGATGTGAAGATTTTGAATACACTTATTTCTGTGAGATGTGAGTGGAAAAAGCAGTATTTTAAAATTAATATGTTGGATATAGGAAGGGATTCTAATATGTCTAGCCACATGAGTAAGTTAATGTTAGAGAGAGAGATTGTGTACTAGTTCATTTGCATCCCTAGAAGTTACACATTTTTTGGACCCTCTCATTGGGAAAATAGGCCATCAACTTCTATTCAGCAACCTTATATGTAGACATATTTGGGAGGTTACAGGTTTTGCCGGCCAAGTCCTCAAGGTCTGGGATCCACAGTGTATAGCATGAAATTTCTGGGGAGAGGGACCTCCAGGAATATGGATGGAGTGCTAGCCTGAGAGGGATGAGGTGGTCAGGTGCCAATTTCACCTTGTATTAATTTTGTTTGGTCTTAAATCTGAGAAATCTGAGAGGACTAGCCAGAAGTTTGATGGTGATTTTGTTGTGATAATTTGGCCCTTTTTTTTTTTTTTAAGTGTTTTTTAGGGCTATTTCAGGAGAACTTGGCAGGTCTTGGAGAGTATGTTATAGCCCATTTTCCCCTTTCTAGCTGTTTTAAAACATATCTTTAAGCTGTGGAGCCCTCATTTAAATGAAATCTCAACATGGAAAGCCAATATACCAACGGAATATTGGCAAAGTTTCACATTGTGTCTCTAATGGGAACTGTCCGAAGCCTTTTTGTTTTATTCGCTCTTGTTTCTAGACCTCTGTAGACAGAGAGAGCAAACCAAGCTGCTGTTTGAAATACTGGAAATTACACTCTGGTTTTTATAGTGTTGGTGAAATTAAGAGCTTGGCGTGTTATGGGAACTAAAAAGACCAGTGAGTTCATTTGACGTTCAATTTTATCTGCCGTGCTTAAGAAGGGATACGACATATCATCAGCCACGCTTTCTGACTTTCCATGACCATCCTGGGATGTTTCACGATTTCAACAGACAGAGAGGCTTACGTTTCAGATGCAACCTAACAATAGTTTAATGTTTAATAGTTTAATAGTTAATAGTTTAATGGAAGAGTTCTTACCTCCTTGGCAGAAAGACACGACACAAGAAATCTCCCGCTTTTGAAAGAGCCAAGGTCAAGTCTTACCTGAGAGTTTGTCTCAACCTGATTAACAGACAAGGAGGGCCATCCTTTAGCCTCTGGGTTATAAACATCGTAAACACTCTGCGTTGTCCATCTTCTTTCAGTAGCAAAGGGAAAATAAGACCTGGTGCTCTGTGCTCTTCATAACCTTTATTCAAAGTCCATTTTCTTTTGAAAAGGAAACTTATGAAACCAGAAATCAAATCCACTTCTACTAGCCACTAGCTATGGATCTTGGGCAAGCCCCATAGCTTTTCCACGCTTCCATTTTCCTGCCTGTAAAATAGAAAATGAATTTTTCTCTCTGAAAATTCATAATAATAGCAAGTGTTTGTTGGACCCTTACTTTATGGCAGGCCCTTCACATGGGTTCTGTCTTTTAATCATAATGACACCCCTATGAAGAAAGTACTACTGTTATTTCCATTTTACCCTTAGAGAAACTGAGGCACGGGTGTTAACGTTCCTTGCCCAGGGTTGCACAGGAAATGATGAACCAGTCTTTGAATGCAAGTGGCTGGAATCCAGCACCCAGGCCCTTCCCCGCCCTGCCTCGCCTCCTGAGATGGCCACAGTGGGGGTGAATGAGAGGGGCTGGGGGGCAAGGTGACCAGTACGGGCTTGGTGCAGTGGGTGAGAGTTTCCCTCCTCCTCAGGGTGACTTGTGCTGACTAGTTGGGTGTCTCCTCTCTTTCTTTATACATTTCTTGGGGACAGTGACTGTCTTATTCATCTTCTTTCCCCGTGCAGTGAAAGAAGAGAATGGTATGGAGGATGCCTACTTCCCTCCATTCTATGTGTCACAAACCGATACAATTTTTTAAAGATTTATTTATTTATTTTAGAGAGAGAGAGAGAGAGCGAGACCAAGCATGAACAGGGGGAGGAGGAGCAGAGGGAGAGGGAGAAAGAGAATCCTTGGGCAGACTCCCCGCTGAACATGGAGCCTGATATGGGGCTCAATCCCACGACCCTGAGATCATGACCTTAGCCGAAACCAAGAGCCGGCCGCTTAACCGACTGCGCCACCCAGGCGCCCCAAACCCATACAATTTTTATATCTGTTAAAGTCTCACCTTGTCCTTCAAGCTGTAGCAACCCACAGAGAATCCTTAACTACTCATTTAGCCTTACTCCTACTTGTCACATGACAGACATGCAGTAAACAGTGGCTGAATGAAGAAATGGGTGACTCATATGCTATTGTCATTACCCTTTATGTTTGCCGTTTACTCTGGTCATCCTACTGGGATGGTGTGTGCTGGGAGAGTAGGGGACCACTCCGTTTGCTTGTCTTGCCCTTGACATTGAGGCTACTCGAGGGAGAACCAGAGGACCAAGGCGGACAGGTCTGTGGAGACCAGCCTTGGTCCCATTATTGTTGGAGGATTTCCTGGTGTGCCTGAGGTCCCCCCAGTACCGGACCTCCACCTTGTGGCCTGCCACTGGGTGAATTCGTGGTGCCTCGGAGAGTGTGGGAGTCTTGGTAATTAGGCCTGTAAAACCGAGAGAACCAGGGTGGGCTGTGGCCCACTCACATCGATGTTGTTTGCAAAGTATTAACTTTTATTTTCTTTAACCCAAGTAAAATATGCTTTAAAAATTATTTTCTTGGGGCGCCTGGGTGGCTCAGTCGTTAAGCGTCTGCTTTTGGCTCAGGTCATGATCCCAGGGTCCTGGGATCGAGTCCCACATCGGGCTCCCTGCTCTGCGGGAAGCCTGCTTCTCCCTCTCCCTCTCCCCCTGCTTGTGTTCCCTCTCTCTCTGTCTCTCTCTCTGTTAAAAAATAAATAAAAAAATCTTTTTAAAAAATTATTTTCTTAAAAACGTATTTTCTGCATTATTCTGTAACTTGGAAATATTACACAAGGTTTTACGGTGGTAAAATATGCACAATGTAAAACTGACCATTTTAACCATTTTTAAGTGTCTAATTCAGTGACATCACAGTCAGAATGTTGTGCAACCATCACCACCCCCGTTTCCAGAACTTTTTATCATCCCAGACGGAAACTCAGTACCCATTAAACAACAACGCCCCATTTTTCCACCAACCCAGCCTCTAATCTCCTTTTTGTCTGTGTGAATTTGCCTACGCTGGGTACCTTGTATAAGGGGAATCATCGAACATTTGTCCTTTTGTGACTGGCTTGTTTCCCTTAGCATAATGTTTTCAGGTTTCATTGATGTTGAAGTACAGATCACAGTATCATTCCCTTTTAAGACTGAATGATATTCCATATGTGCTTAGACCGTATTTTGTTATTTTGTCTGCTGGTGGACACTTGGGTTGTTTCCGCCTTTGGACTATTGTGAATAATACTTACATCAATGGTTTTAAGAAAGAAGCGAATTTATGGGAATGAAACACAAAAACATTGTGTTTTGCTACAGAGTTCCAGATAATAACACATAAAACATAAGGAACTATAATAAGCAGCAAAAGTATAAACAAACCACAAAAACCAAAACACACTGTAAGTTCAGGGGACGAGCACCGTTGCTTTAATGAATGGTGTTAAACAAGCATTTCCCAGCATGAGCCACGCATACACCCTGAGTTTCCAGCCATCCAGGAGGTTCCTTTCCAAGCACCTGGGCAGGTAGCTTTGCTTGCAGGCAGGGGCGGTTGGTGTCACAGGAGAGATACAGGCAAGGTCTCTGGACCTTCAGAGGCAGGGACAGAATTCCTTGGGGCGGGAGAGGGGGCTCTAAGGAGGTGGCAGATCTTGGCCCAGTGGTGATGGGAGCAGGGGAGGCATTAACTAGGGTAAATTCCTAGCACTGTTCTTTCTCAGCTAAACCCAGCTGGCAAGTTTCTGTTTCTTAGGCCTGTCCTGAGGGCTTCGGGTCCCTCTAGCTCACATTACTCACAGCTGTTAAGCAGTCTTAATCCTGCATTTAAACAACCTTGTTACTTGGAGTTGCTGTGTCTCCAACAAGTGCCTCGGATTTGCTTGTCTGGTTCGTGTGTGTGTCTCAGGGCAACAGTGCCCCCGTCGGCCTTCTGGAAGAGCTGCTTTTCTTTGGGTGATCTGAGGCATGGCCCTTGTCCTCCTCTGCCCACTGAGTGGACACAGACTTGGGATCACACGGTCTGCCCACGATGCAGCCGAGAGCCAGCCACTCCTGCTCTCCCCTAGCCGCACAACCTTAGAGAAGTCACTCCGCCCTTCTGGCCCTGCTGTCCGGCGTGAGGGGACCCAGTGGTCTCCGCGGCCCTTCCGGCTCTCCAGCTTTATGATCACCCATATCATGAGTGAATGACCCCCCTCCAGCACTCTTGGAATAAATGACTCAGCACTCTGATCGTTCTGTTGCTGTTTTTAAGGAAGCCTGATTATTTTGCCATCACAAGCAAGTGTTTGTTCCGTGGTTAAACAATCTGACAGTCTTGATCCAGCTGGAGTTGGGCTGAGGCTGACTGGATTTCTTCACGCCGCCCTCTTTCAGGGAAGAAGCCCGGGTACCGACTGGCCGCAGACACTCCGAGCATTGTCAGGACTCGGAGCCGGTGACGGGGAGCTGCTGTCCACCCCCGGCCTTCCCCCCCAACCCAGCTTCAAGATGCTGAGCCTGAAGCTGCCCCGGCTGTTTAGCATCGACCAGATGCCCCAGGTATGTGCTGTGGGTCCAGTGGTTGAGTTCCGGGCAGTGATGAGGGCGCCGTGTGGCCTCTGCCCTGGGGCGGGGTGGGGGGGTGCTGGCTTTGTCTTCAGCCAGCACCCCCGTCTCCCCCACCTACACTGAACCTGGACATGGGAGGGATCCTGAGACTGTTGACGTCGTAACCCTTCCCTGTGACATCTGTATTTTATCCCGAAGCCAAGTCTTTGTTGAGACTCCACATTCGAGCTGAAGACATGTAGCCAGTGGCATCTGGCTGGATAGACGTTTCCTTTGGGCCCCTCCCTGGGGTGCTGGAAAGCAGGCCAGGGGCCAGGCCGCCTCGGGTGTGTGGCTTTGCCCTTGTCCGTATCACTTGCAGGAGGCTCGGGCCCCGTGTGGCTTGGGGCGAGGAGGAGGGTGTCTTGTGGGCCTCAGGCCTGGCCCCATCGTGGACTCCTGGGCCCGGGAGCTCACAGGCGGCCACCCCGAGACACCTGGCAGGCCTTGACAATCCGCATTTGTAAGCGGCCTGAGGTGAGGCCCCTCTGCTGGCGCACCCCCTTCCCCGGCGGGGCAAACACCACTTCTTGCACACTCTTGTTGCCACGTCACATTCCCTTCCTTTTTGACTGAAGACGAGCCAGGGTGGGACGTGTCATCTGGAGGATGTCACAGACTGAAGGGAGACCCTTCCACGCTGCTGACTGCCAGGCACTTCCAACTTCCCTCAGAGGCCTAAGTCCTGGGCGCGCTCAGCCCCGCGCAGAGATGAGGAGCGGGCAGCCTGCCAGGCTCTGTCCCAAAAGCCTGTGCAGCTGGGTGGATGCAGCTAGGTGGCACTGGGGGGTGATGGGACACGGGGCAGAGCAGTCTGGTGGAAGAGGCGAGGGACACGGCAGGTGACAGACAAATTAAAATGAGGCTGGCCTCGCAGGACGCCTCCTGTGTGCTCCCAGGGCCGTACCTCCTCCTGGTGCAGTTCTCCGCTGGCTTCTACCCACAGACCACTAGTGGCTGCGATTAGTGGGAGCACGGGGTGATTCTTTGATTCATCCACTCACAAAATTTTTCTTGACGCCCTGCCACGTGCAAGGTGTCACTCCGGAATAATCCCATACAAATCCTGCCCCTAAGGATTTTAAAATGTGGACGCGTGCTTCTGTTGCAAAGTGGGCTAGGGTATGTCCTGAAAGACCCAGAGGAGGGATCGGTCACTTCCATCATGGGGGAGGAAGGGCTCAGGGAGATCTTTAAGATGGCTTGAGGGTGGGTAGGAGGTGGGAGGTGGGCCGACCAGAACAGATGGAAGGACTGGCGTGGACAAAGGCCTGGGGACAGGGAAGCAGCGAGCAGGCGTGGGGACTCTTGGGAAAGGGGTCATGGGCGCTGCTGAGATGTCTCCCTGGGTGTTTTGGGCAAGGTCGCATTCAGAGCATGGGCCCAGGAAAGACGTGAAGGGGAAGTGAAGGTCTCAATGGCTACTTTGTGGGCTTCTGAAGTGTGGGGATCCTGAAGACGAGGACCAGAAAACCCTGGAGTGCTAAAGAGGAACGTGTCTCCTGTGTCCAGGTTTTCATAGAGGTTGGAGGTGACAGTATCCTTTTTAGTAAAATGGTGCTAGTCAGAGGCGGAAAACCAACATCGCACCTCACATCCACTGTTTTTTGCTTCGAAACCTTCCTTGGGTGCCTACATCCACTACCGGGCTTTGGGGCCCCATGCTCAAGGTTTCTGCAGCCGTGGAGCGAACAGTGGCTCTGCCTGCCTGGAGGGTACTTTTATTTGAAGATTTGCTGGGAGAGGGGGACGGAAACGTTTGTTGTTAAAACAGGTGCAAATATATTGAGGAGAAAAATGCATATGTAATTTGCATGAATATTTAGAATAGACCTCCTACAAATGCTAAGCTTATTTTCGGTGGGCTTCTTGGGTTCTGATACCCAGTCTGTGGAGTGACCTTGGGCAAGATACTTAATCTCCCTACCTCAGTTTCTGCACCTGTAAAATGGGGTGATGGGAATATCTGCTTCCTGGGGTTACGGTTATGAGATGGCCCATGTGAAGTGCCTGGCACATGGGGTCGAGTCAGTAATGTCGGCTGCCATTTCCATCATCAGGTCTTCATACAGGGGCCCTGGATAGCCTCTCCTTTAGCATATTAATGAGCTGTGTGGACTGGGCCACTTCCCCACCCTCTCTGAGCCTCAGTTTCCTGATCTGTAAAGTGGAGATAATACCTGTTAATTTAGTCTCACAGGGCTATTGTGAGGATCCAAGAAAAATGAAATAGAACAGTGGGATTATTATGAAAGAACGGTAGCATAGCCAGATGGTGTGGTGTTGGGTAGGAGGGCTTGGGCCCTGAGGACCCAGGAGCCAACTCAGTAGGCAAATGGTTTCTCCAGCTCAGGGTTTCTCAAAGTGGGTGCCTGGATCCCCGCCATCAGAATCATCAGGAGCTTATTAAAATACAATATGAATGGGTACCTGGGTGGCTCAGTTGGTTAAGCGTCTGCCTTTGGCTTGGTCATGACCTTGGGGTTCTGGGATCGAGCCCCAAGGCAGACTCCCTCTCCCTCTGCCCCTCTCCCCTGCTTATGCTCTTGCTCACATGTGCTCTCTCTCTCTCATGAATAAGATCTTTAAAAAAAATACAATATGAAGCATGATTGCAGGCCTCTTCATATTGTTCTTGATTTTAATGAAAAGGAATGCTTTCAGGGGCGCCTGGGTGGCTCAGTCGTTAAGCTCCTGCCTTTGGCTCAGGTCATGGTCCCAGGGTCCTGGGATGGAGCCCCGCATCAGGCTCCCTTCTCAGTGGGAAGCCTGCTTCTTCCTCTCCCACTCCCCCTGCTTGTGTTCCCTCTCTTGCTATGTCTCTGTCAAATAAATAAATAAAATCTTAAAAAAAAAAAGAATGCTTTCAACATTTCATCATTAAAATAATGTAGCTCTATGTGTGTCTGTGTGTGTGTATGTAAATAACCTTTATCGAGTCAAGGATATTCCTTTCTACCCCTTGTTTTCTAGAATTTTTTCCCTTTAAATAAGAATGAATTTTACAGAACCCTTTTTTTCCCTATCAGTGCATTTTTTGAGATGGTCGTGTATGATTTAAGTTATTAGTGTGGTGAATTACACTGACCAATTTAGTAATGTCAAGTTAACCTTGCATTTAAATAAAACTTGGTCATGATGTAATATCTTTTTAATCTATTGCTGGAATCAGCTAGTGTTTTGTTTAGGAACTTTTTTTTTTACTTGAGAGAGAGAGAGAGAGCACAAGCAGGGGGAGGGGCAGAGGGAGAGGGAGAATTAGTCTCCCTGCTGAGCAAGGAGCCCTGCTGAGCAAGGAACCCGTGCGGGGCTTGATCCCAGGGGCTTGATCCCCGGACCCTGAGATCATGACCTGAGCCAAAGGCAGATGCTTAACCGACTGAGCCACCCACTTGCTCCTGTTTAGGAGCCTTAATTCTAATGAGTTGACTTGTAATGTTTCCTTCAGATACTGCCATTGTCTAGATTTGGGTTATGATTGTGCCAACCACAACGAGTTGGAGAGCCTTGCCTATTTGTTCTATGGAAAACTTCGTATAATATTAGATTTCTGTGTTCCTGAGTGGGTCGTAGAATGTACCTGCACGATTGTCCCGCAAGGCCACCACCTTGTGCCCCTCCCACCCAGGGGAGCACCGTTACCTGCTAATCTACATGTATGGCAGCCTGTGGAGTGGTGGATGGAATGACTCATCTTGCAGCTGAATTTTCTGTGTGGGAAGTTTTTTTTTTTTTATAACAGCTTTGTTGAGATATAATTCACATACTATAAAATTCATCCTTTAAAATACACAGCCCCGGGGGTTTTAGTATGGTGACATACACAAAGTCTGTTGCACAAACTCTCACCATGGTCAATTTTAGAACAGTTTCATTACCCTAGAAAGAAACTCTGTACCCATTAGCAGTCATTTCCTACTTGCCATGGCAACCACTGATTTACTTTCTGTCTCTGGATTTGCCTCTTCTCCGTAATTCGTATAAACGCGATTGTATAATAGGTGGCCTTTTGCAAATGCCTTCTTTCACTGAGCATAAATGTTTTCAAGGTTCATTCATGCTGTACCATGTGTTAGTACTTCATTTGTTTTGTGGCTGCATAATATTCCATTGTATGGATGTACCGCTGTTTGTTTGTTCATTCATTAGTTGATGGACCCTTGACTTTCCATTTTTTTGGCTGCTACAAATAATGCTGCCATGAACATTTGAGTACACGTTTTTGTATGAACATGTTTTCAGTTCTCTTAAGTACATGCCTAGGAGCGGAATGTTGGATCATGTGGTAACTCTGTGCTGAACTATTTTTTTTATTGTAGTAAAATACATTTCAATAAAATTTACCATCTTACCCAATTTTAAGTGCACGGTTCAATGGTATTAAATGTATTCACATTGTTGCACAGCAAGCACCATCATATATCTCCATAATTCTTTTTATCTTGTAAAACTGAAACTCTATACCCATTAAACAATAACTCCCCATTTCCCCCTCCCCTTAGCTTCTGAAAACCATCCTTCTACTTTCTGTCTTTATGATTTTGACTATTCTAGTACCTTCTATAAATGGAATCATACAGTGTTTGTCTTTTTGTGACTGGCTTATTAATTTCACTTACCGTAATGTCCTCAAGGTTCATCCATGTTGTATATGTCAGAATTTCCTTCATTTTTATGGCTGGATAATATTCTTGTATGTATCTACCAGATTTTGCTTATTCATTCCCTCATCAATAGATACTGGATTACTTCTATGTTTTAGCTATTGTGAATAATGCTACTATGAACATAGGTGTACAGATACTTCTTTGAGATCTTGCTTTCAGTTCTTTTGGGTATATAACCAAAAGTGGAATTGCTGGATCATTTGGTAATTCTATTTGTAATTTTTTGAGGAACCACCATACTGTTTTCCACAGTGGCTGTGCCATTTTAAGTTCCCATCAACAGTT